ACTGTGCTATAAGAAATGATGAGCTCAATGATTTTAGAAAAACATGGAAAGACTTGCACACAATAATAAAGAGTGAAATGAGCAGAACCAAGAGAACATTGTATACAGTAACAATATTGTTTTAAGATGGACTTTTAGTGAATAAGTTATTTTGAGTATTATAAATACCCAAAAGTATAAAAGACATATGAAGAAAGATGTATCTGCATCCAAAGAAAGAACTGATAAGTAGAAGTATGTATAGAATAATTTTACACACATGCACACACACAAACATACCTATTTGTGTCTAATGGTAGCCATCTCTAGGGTAGGGGTGGGAGGAGGGAAGAAAAAAAGAAATTTATATGATAATTTTGTCATATATTTGAAAGGAATATCAAGTTTTGCATAGCAGATTTGCACTTTCACATACAATCATCATTTTATTGGACTATGTTATGGAAATGCTTGTTTTATGCCAAAAATTAAAAATAAAATTAAAAAAATTCAGCTTCAGACCTTTACCAGCTATGTGACTTGGGCAAATAATTTAACCTCTGTCTGCTTCAGTTTCTTCCTTTATGAAATAGGGTAACAATAGCACCTACCATATTTCACTGCATAAAAATCATCACAGATTACATGCCATTTTTTGCAAAAAGTGGGATGTGACCACTATGTGAAACTTTAAAGATTGTGCCCATATTACTTAAAAACCATTTATTGCTAAAATGTCTTTGGTGCAAGATTAGGATGCACAGAATACTTTAAATTTAAATTGGGAAAATGCACATTTTACCACATCACATGACTTACTCATGGCAGCTTTGCCTGTCCAACCACACTCCCCTTGCACCTATGGCTCTTCAGTGTGGTGAGTGACAATATGCTTAGTTCTGCGGTGCTCTAAACAAACCCCTCAAGTTAGCTTTCAGAAATATACTGACAATATGCAATCACTGAGAATTCTAGGTTCATGGTTTAAAACGGGCAAAAGATAAATGTGTATCCATATGCCACTGGTGAATACATTGCTGCTCTGTTTACCTTCTGTTCTGATGAACAGAATTATACCATGCGATGATCACATTTGAAAAGTTATAAACCAATTTTTGGACTAAAAAAAAACAGGGTGCAAGGATTATGCAGTGGTGATGATTTTGTGGTGAAATGCAGTACTTCTCAAGTTTGTTGTGAGGATAAAATAAGATATTTTTAAAGTATATTGCAAATCTAAAAACTCTATACAAATCTAGCTACTGTTGTTGTTGTTATTGTTGTTATTATCAGTGCAGGAAGAAGTTGGTAGAGCTGATTGGTGTCTGGGGTGTGATATTAAAATAATATTAAGTCCTAGCAGTTATAGTTTATAATGCCCAAATTGGATTTCACAATTTCACTGAGTCCTATCTACAGCATTTTCTCAGGGCTCATATCCAACAATTTGCATAGGATGCTCACCACCTGGGACATTATTATATTCATGGGCTTCTGAAAATAATAGATCAGATTTGCATAGTCTTTTATTGCCTATGAGCCCAGTAACACAAAAGAGAATATAGGTATGTTACAAGGAGGAATAACCAGAGACCTTGCTCTTAGGTAGTAAACAGCAAGGATTATTGGGGTGAAGCTAGTCAGAAGCAGTTTTTGTCAAAAGCTGACATTAGAGGAGAAGATTAGGTGTGGAGTGACCATAAATGAGTCACTTAATGCCTTTGAGCCTCAGTTTTCTCATCTGTAAAATGTGGATAATGATAGCCATAGTAATTTTCTTACAATGTTGTTCTGAAAGTCCAATGAAATGATCTATGTAAAATTCTATGTAAATGTCAGTTATTATAAAAAGAAAAATCTTTGCTATGGAAACCAACTGGTACCTAGACCCTGACCAGGTATTGGAAGTGAGGATTGTCTCCTTTCCTTTCCTTCCTTCCTTCCTTCCTTCCTTCCTTCCTTCCTTCCTTCCTTCCTTCCTTCCTTCCTTCCTTCCTTCCTTCCTTCCTTCTCTCTCTTTCTCTCCCTCTTTCCCTCTCTTCCTTAGGGAGACATGATAGAGAGGCAATCTGCTTGAGAAGATAAGAGATGATAGGATTGAGGGTACATATTGAGGGGCCTGCCTTGGCAAGGAAAAGGGCTACTTCTTTATGAGAGATGGGTGGAAAAGATGGTGAAGGAAGATATCTGAGTGATAGGACCTGAAAGGAGATAAGAAGAAACTCTCAGTGAATAGCCTCAATTTTTTTTTCTGTGAAAAATGGAGTGAGGTTCTCAAATGAAATGCTAATGGGATGCTTTAGAGGCCATAAAGAAAGATGGTGATTTGGCTGTCTCTCTCAGACCAAAGACCCCTAATGGTGGTGGAGTCACAAGAGGAAGTGTTCCTGAGGCATGCCGACTTAACCTTGATTGGTTAATCAAATGGGAGGCAGGCTATCTTGGGTGAGTAACTTAAGTAACTCAAATCTTCGTCAAAGATATCAATTTCCATATTATCTGTCTTGAAAATAGGGAGAATCAATATTTCTCTAGAGCTGTCTCAGCAAACACAGTCAACAGGCATACACTCATTAACTTAAACTTAGAATTTCTTCTATTGTCTGATTAGATCTTGAACTGGGTAAACCTCTAAGAGAGATTTCTCATTATTTGATTTCTGGATGAAGAATTAGAAAAGGGGAAAAACCTTGTTCCTAATACATTAATTTGTTAGTAAATATAAGAGAGAAGTATTCACTTCTCACAGAACTGATACAGGCCTCATAGAGGTCATCATGAAGGCCTTGGGAGGAAAGACATGATGTGAATGTGGGGAGGTTGTACAAATCCTGGACTGAAAACTGGTTAGGCTCTGGAAGGGAAACAGAACATCCAACAGAACCCAAGGTGACTTGGGAATCACTGGGAAGGTCCTGGAAGGAAAGGAAATTTCTAAACTCAAATGAGATAGCCTAGGTTCATGGAGTGACAGGTGAGGAAAGAAATAGCTTGATTAAAAGAAAAATTGGCTTAAATTCTCTTGTTAGCTAGCTAGGTGTAGCTGACTGGGGAGTCTAGTCACAAATGAGTTGTAATAGTTCTGAGGCTATGAACTAAAGACTTGGGGAGAAGACGCTAAAGACCAGAAGAAGGCAGCTCAATGGCAGACATTCAGCAGAGCTCCTTAGTAGGGATCCAGATGGAAGTGATAATAGATACATAATGAACCTCAGCTGTGTGGAGGAAGTAGCTCCCCTGATGATACCACCAAGGATGTTGGTTGCTCTGGGGCGGGGCGGGGGGGGGGGGGGGGGGGGAGCATCAGCAGTAGAAACTTGAGTTACTCTGATGATGCATCTTGTGCATCCTTTCCCTCAGTGGAGATATGGCAGCCCTATGTATAGCAGAATCTTTCTTGTCCCTTATTTTGCTATACTATCTAATGAAATGTCCTTTGCTTTGTATGAATGTAATCTCTGGTTGGTTTGTAATGTCATGAGATGTGATTTTGACTGGAGACTGACCCACAATATGCCTAGAACCTGGCTCAGCTGTCAGGACTTACCTAGATGAGTAGAGACACAAGGACTCCCATTTGTCTTCTCCTTAGTTACATTTTATCCCTGTTCTTTTTAAAGTTGTCCTTCATCCTCCTTTAACTCTCTTTCATTGGCTTACATACAGTGGGCTCTTTGTGGTGACAGACCCTCTTCCACTTTGCTCTCTTGATGTCCTCTCACTACTCCTGCTATACCAGGCCTTCCTCTGGCCCATCCATCCCTTCTCCCAATTCCTGAATTGGCTGATCTGAAGTATTATCATAGAAATCTAATGGGACAGAGCCATTGATTGAAGGTTGGAAGGGCCCTGAGACATCAGAGAGTCCACCCCCCTCATTGTACAGGTGAGAAAACTAAGATCCAGAGATATTGAGAAGTGTAGTTATTGGCAGAGCCAGGATTTGAATCCAGCCCTTCTGATTTCACATCCAGTATGCTTTCCATTGTATTGTATTGCATTGTTCCTCATTTTACTTATAGGGCAGAGTTGGCCCTGGGCAAAATAAAGTGGGAGAAGTCTGTGCCTTCATTCCATGCCACCCACCTCCCCCTTCTCCCTTTCAATTACTCAATACCTTCACAGTTACTTATCCTCAGCTTCTCAGAGTACCTCCCCTCCCTACTCCTGCACTTAACCTCATGGGATACTTTTTCTCTGAGTAGACACTTGTCCTATTTCCTTTTCCCTTCATAGAAACTCACCTGTCTTGATTTACACTCCCCCAGGGTCTTGCTACTGACTGGGATCAGGAAGAAATTGATGCCAAGGTGTTAATTAATGATATTTTTGTGGAACAAATGGAGTTGAATCATTATTCAGTTAGACAGATTCAGAACTGGTTGAATGGTGAGGCTCAAAAAGGTGCTGTAAGTGGTTCAATGTCAACTTGACACCTCAAAAGAGGCACTTGATACACTAGGCACAGGGAGCAAAATAGATGTGTGAATCCAGGGCATGCATGGACAACTAAGTATTTACATTATAGACAGGAGGATGTTTAATAGTATGTCTGGGGCAGGGCGTTAGATAAGAGGATGAGTACAAGAACAGGAAAGGGGGAAGATCTGGGAAGCCTTATTATAGCTAGACTTAAGAGAGGAAGCAGAATAGGCAGGTAACAAGTATGTATTATTTATGGGGAGGTTCTTGGAAGGAGCCAGGATCAGTAGCCTATGTCCAGGTATTTCCTTGAGCCTGGCTCTGGTTAGGGACAGGCAAATCTAGTATAAACAAATAGAGACTAGTTTCAGTGAATGATCCATGTCAGATTTGCATCCATAAAAGGGGTGAGATTCTTTTTTAATCCACATTAGGCACATATAGTGTCCTCCTGCTCCTCCACTTTCTCCTCCAGCTGGGCTCCTGCATAAAGCAAAGAGAGGTGCTGAATCCTTGGAGAATCTGGCCTGCTATCAGACATCTTCTGGGTAAGGTGTCCTGGAGCATCTGAGTCTCAATAGGAGCTTGGTAAACAAAGAATGCCCAGCCTACTCATTGTCTTCTTCATGATTTTCTTTCTCCTGGAGTCTATGGCAGGAATCATAGAAAATGGTTTCATCATCATTGTGCTGGGCAGGGAGTGGGTGCGATGTTGGACCCTGCCCCCTGGTGTCATGATCCTGGCCAGCCTGGGCATCTCCCGCTTCTTTCTGCAGTGGGCAGCAGTTGTTAGTAACTTCTCCACATATTTCTCCCTAATTTACAGAAGTCTATACCTTCGTGTTCTCTGGAATTTTACTAATGTGGCCACACTCTGGTTTACTACCTGGCTTGCTGTTTTCTACTGTGTGAAAATTTCTTCCTTCACTCACCCAATCTTCCTCTGGCTGAAATGGAGAATTTCCCGATGTGTCCCCTGGCTACTGTTGTGTTCCATACTTATATCTATTTTGATATTCATCTTAACTTTAATAAAGGCCTATCATGATTACCAACTGCCAGTCACTGGAAATTACTCAGAAAAGACCTCTTTGGATGATAGGACATGGTTATTACGGAGGCATTTTTCCACGCATCTGCAAATGTTTATGTGGTTAATTCCTTTCATCTTCTTCCTTGCCTCCATCATCTTGCTCATTTCCTCCCTGTGCCAACACTTGGGGAACATGCAGCACCACAGTGCTGGTCCTCAGGATCAGAGTATGCAGGTCCACATTACAACCCTGAAGTCACTTTTCTTCTTTCTCTTCCTCTATGCATCATATGTTCTGTCTCTGATCGTCACCAGCATAGAATCTATTTCAATTTGCAGCCCTCAGTTTTGGGTATGGGAAGTAATCATCTATGCTGGCATCTCCATCCATCCTGCCCTCCTGATCCTGAACAACTTAAAATTGAGAAGGGCTCTGAAGAAGATGCTTCATGACCCAGAGACTGCATAAAGGGAATTCAAGTCTGAAGTGGTCAATATCAGTAATCAATATTGAGCATTATCAATATTGCTGTTTGTGACATAGATGCATAAGACTTAGACAGGAGAGAAGAAAGGAAGGAAGGAAGGGAAGAAAAAGATATTTTACTATGTTCTTGTGATACTTTGACATTGTAATAAGCACTGGGGACACAAAGACAATCACTTAGGTATGAACTTTTCATCTTTTCCATTCTCTCTTCTCCTACTGCCTAGTTCCTTTATCCATAAGCCCTGTCAATTTTTCTTCTGTAACATTTCATAGTTAATTGCAAGGTATTTTGCGGGATGACTTCCTCATTTTACAGATGGGGTACTAAGGCCATGAGAGATCAAGTGACTTGTCCAGGGTCAAACAACTGGTAAGGGTCTGAAGCAGAATTTGAACCCAGCTCTTCCTGATTCCAAGTCTAACATTTACTTCATTTCATCATGATTTTACTTTTCCTTGTCTTTTATTCTCATACTCACACCCACAGCAACAGGAATAGTCCCCGTCCCATGCTCTAAACTCCTTGTGCCCACATGGTCATACAATCCTTTTTGCTGGCTTCTGTGTCTATCCTGCAAAGAATAGTCAGATACACCTCAATTACTGGCAAAGGGGACTATAGGCAAGTCACTTAGCTCTGGAAGCCTTGCTTTCTTCATCCAGGAAAAGAAATGTGCAATGTATCTGTGTGTGTGTGTGTGTGTGTGTGTGTATGCAATGTATGCTTTATAAATATGTACAATATGTATATGTGTGTGCACACACACACATAAATGTACATTCATACATGCACACACATACATACACATACAAACAATGGAGATAATAATATTTTCTCTTCCTACCTCAGGAAGGTACAAAGCAAAGTACTTTATCAACCTCTAAATGGTAGAGGTACAAGATTTCTTGCTATTCCACTCTCACCCTCTTCAGAAACCTAGAGTGGCTGTCAATTTCCTGTCACAGTCCAGCTGAAATGCATCATGGGCTTTAGCTGACCACAGCTCTTTCCCCATTGACAGACACTAGACTCTTCCATTGGATTTGCCTCAGATGATTATACTTGAAAGGCTTTTTCAGTCATGGCCTGACTTTTTTTGTTTTCCCATTCCTTTCAAAACTCAGCTGGAAATACACCTTCTATTCCCAGTAAAATGCCAGCTCCTTGAAGTCACACGTTTTTGTCTTTGGACCCCTAGAACAATGGCATAGCAGATAAGGACCCAGCCTCTTTGTCAGGAAGACCTGAGTTCAAGTCTTACCCAAGACATATGCTTGCTGGGTGACTCAGAGAATTGACTTAAGCTCTCAGGGCCCAAGACAGTGCTTTAAAATTATAGGTTGCTGAGCAGGTTATGATTAGCACTGGGATTTCCTTATACTAATGAAATGACTGGTTTACTTTCCTTGCTTCACCCCACCCCCCACCAATAAAAACAAAGCAATACTCTTTCTACTTAATCATAATCAAACTAATCATAAACTAATGTGAGTCTGGGATAGCACCCACAAAGGGATGGAGTCCAGAGGAGGGCGGTAGCTAGCTCTCTATAGGCCTGACAGATGTCCAAAGAGCTGGGATGACTCTGGGTCCCCTCTGCTGTTGGGTGGTTCATATGATATGTGGGAAAAGTATTTGATAGCAGATGAAGCATGAACCTCACTACCAAACAGTCTAAGACACTGGTCACAGTGCCCAACTTGGTGTCATATTAGTTACTGAGTAGTTACTTGTTTGAATTTAACTGTTACTCTTCCTTTAATATAATAATGTCTTTTTGGCTTATAAATACTCAAACAGTTCTATGATCTTATCCATTTGGCAGTTCCCTCCAGTGTTGCAGGTCATATTTTATACATGCCTATGTATCTCCGGTGATCTTGTCAACGTACTCTCCTAAGCTCTTTATAAGGTGTATTCCCAGTGCTCTGAAGGAAGGCTTTCTTCTTCATCTTCTCTCAACATCTTGAAGATACTGTGGAGCACACTGCCTGTTTATATGTTTTCCTTTTCATTTGCTATGTTATGATAGGACCAGAATTTTAATGACTCAGCTTCCAGGACTTCCCTCTTCCCCTTGGAAACGTGATCAGTTCTAGCCTCCCTGACATAGCTTCCTGGCATGATGGAATGAAAAGGTCCCAGCCCATTGAAATCAGAGTCTCTCAGAATTGATGGATGCTTGCAATATGTGAGTCTCCATAACCACTTGACTTACTGACCAGATGAAGTTTCCAGATGGGGAGGAAGAGGACCCTGTCCAGAGAAGCTAATATCCATGTTGTATATTCTTGCTCTCTTAGGGCAAGGTAAACCTCCTCCTTTATTAATTTTCCAGTGACTTGAGAGTACCTCATTTAGTTCCAACACTGCACATGTACCAAGAGGGTACTGGCTTTAGAGCCATGTCTGCAAAATAGGTGACCAGCCTATCTTTTCTTCCTGACATACAATTTCTTGATAACATCTTTTACTCCTGTTCTTTTTTGCAGTTACTCATTAGCTCTATTTTGAAGCTTGCTCACACTCACCATGTCCTTTTCCTTTGTCCACTGCAGTGTACTCATTTGTAGTTCTTCAGAGACGATGGTTCCATTGCCATATAGCAACACTGGTAATATGTCAGTATGGAAAGATGGTTCTTTCCTTTCATGGGAAACTCGTGAAACAAAAAGATGCCTATGACGAAAATATTCCCCTTAGGTTTGGACAAATAAGAGATGGAGAGAGAAAGGAAATGTCCCTTTCTCCATTTCCCCCCATCTTCCTCCTTTTCTGAAAATCTGTTAGTTTATTACCTAGAAGATATTGATAAATCTGAGTTTATCACTATGGAGTGAGGGAATCCAAATACTTGTAACAGTAAAAATAGAAATAAAATCATAGACCTTGGAGGAACCCAGCCATCATTTGGTATTACCACTAGGGGAAATGTGATTAGCCCAAAGTAACACACTTATTCAGTTAATGGTAGGTCTGGCTCAGAGGAAAAGAGGAAGGAGTCGAGAAGAGTAATACAAAGGAGACAAGAATTGTAAAGTGAAAAGTAGAAAGAAAGACCCTTGAGAGGCTTGAAGGAGAGGCCTAACCCAAGAGTAGGAATGATCCTTGGACAACTGAAGAGAAACTCCCTGCTCAGCTAAGCACAACTGTATTCTACACACCTGGGTTATTAACATGCAAATAGTCTTTCATCTCTATCTATGTCTATTTATCATAGTGGTCTGAGTTCAGAACTTAGTACAGTGCTTGGTCCAAAGCTGCTACCTAATAAATAAATACTTGCTGATTGATTTAGATCTAGTTCTCCCACATTAAATCTGGCTTACAGAATGTGGCCTATGATTTGTCTTTTATTTAACACTGAATATGGTGAAGATAAAGATAGCTGTGATGATAAAAATGAATTAAATGTATTTTAAGGGAAAAATATTTCTGTGTAGTTATTTCCCATATATATATATCCAACAGATAGGTGTATACATAGGTTTACCCCAGAGGTTCCCAAACTTATTTGGCCTATTGCCCAGTTTAAAAAAAAATTACTCAGTACCTCTCTGGAAATCTTTAATCTTTTAACAGTTTTTTAAAAAAAAATTTGCATCTTTTAAAAATATGAAATATTCCATTAAAATGATACATCTTAAATTTAATAATTTATTGTAAATTTGTGGTTTTTTCCTGCATGAAATTTTGATTATGCAATTTTGCATCATGTAACCATATTGTATGTAATCATATCGTAAACAAGTCATTACACGTATATATTCCTGCAGATGCATGCTTGATTACCTTACAATGTGTGAAATGCTGGCCTGCCAACACTTGCTTATTAAAATCTGTTGATGGACTTGACCACTGATCTTGCATTAACTTGCATTTTGTGTGTTTATTTGGAAAATAATGTAATCACTATGACTTTAACTCTGTTACACAACAGATGAAACATGTATGAATGGTTTTTCAAAATTTTTTTCTCTTCTCTTCTTTCCTTATGCTTCCACTGCCCCCTTATTTTTATTCAACACCCCCTACTTGTACCCTAGGCTAGTACCGCCCCTCTGGATCATTCCAGTGCCCCCTCACGGGATAGTATCATCCACTTTGGGAACTTTTGGTTTGCACACACACACACACACACACACACACACACACGTATACACACATGCACACACACACATATAAAACCTTTCAAAGTGCTATCATTTTAGGCCACCAAGGAATGGCCTTCTAGGTCCTTGGGTGTGGCATTTTGACTGAGTCCAGATTTTCCAGAACAAATTTTTTTATTAAGGAGATTTGTTCTGTGAAGTTTGTATTCAGTCTAAGGACCACACTTCAGGACCTAGTAGGCCACATGTGGCCTCCAGGCCACAGGTTCACCACCCCTGTTGTTGGTAATCCTCATTGTTTGTAATGAAGTAGTCCTGATGCACTCAAGAAGGCTAATCTAAATTTGTAAGGTCTAGCCCAATGACTCACACAAGGCAGAGGGCCAAGAAATAGAGGAACTGTACTTTTGATTTTTTTTTTTTCTGCCTTGCACATGTGTGGAAATTTTCTCTTCCCATTGGATTGCAAGGAACTGGAAGACAGAGGGTATCTTTTGTCTGCATGGCAACTTATGTATGTAGTAAATACTTTGTTGAGAATGCTAAGATGGTCATGATTATCAACCTTGTGACAGAGACAATCCCCTAACATAATGACCCTAGGCATATTCTGGATGTTTTTCTTACTTTCCTAGCTCACAGTTGCCACTCAGTATAGTTGGAGAAATGTACATGTTGTAACCCCCATTGCCTAGAGTCCAAATATTCACTTGCAAACATCTAATTTATAGTATTACATTATTATTATTTTTTTGTTATTATTATTATTGCTAAGGAGGAAAATGATTGAAATCTTAGAATGAATTGCCATTTGTTCCAAAGATAACTTTCTCTCTCTCAGTCTCTCTCTGCCTCTCTCCTTCCCT